TTGTCTGTCCTTTCAACATCTAACAAACCACACCACCCATACCAAAATCCTTTGCTCTACCCACAAATGCCACACCTCTCCTCTGACCTCTTACTTTTTCCATGAAGAAATAACTCATTTGACTTTACCAGTTTGTTACAATTCCAAGGTTAGCTGTACCTTCAACCCGCTCACTCTCTCTCCGTGGGCACCCTTTCCAAGTGACAGGTCCACACCTGTCATTTTCTCAGGGTAGAAACCCCTTTTAGACTGGATGTCCTGCAGACCAAACCTAATGAAGACTGGTTTAGATTGGTTTAGATCTTTGTTACTTATCAGCCAACACCACAACAACCAAACCCCAGAGACAGAGACCCTTCAGAATATTAATACAGATATCTCCCACATTCTTCACACCAGTATAGCACATTTCTCCTTGTTCACACCCTTTATGATACTCTGAGAGCATCACCAGAGAATTGTGGAACACTAGATCCATGCCCTGGTTTTCTGCTGAATTATGATCACGGCACATTTATAATACACAGACCTATAGCATCCCTCCCCTCTCCCCCCCCGCCCCCACACACAGTTAAATTCTACCAAACTATTACTAACCATCTTCAGTGCAGAGCACATGGCAGGCTTTAACTTGGCATTTCAGAATACCTACAGTTCACTATATCAGAAGTGAAGCACCTGCAATAGTAAGCTTCTTTCTTCTTTTTTATACTAAAGCATCTTTAAAGACATGGGGAGCAGTACAGGATTACCATTCATTCCTATCCATGGCTTGCTCCTCCATTAAGCCCAGCCTGGTCATGTTCTTGTGAACAATGCCTGGCCTCTTGGTCGGACTGACGTTGGTTATCTTTGCATTATCTTCTCTGGCATGCCATCATCTGTCAGTTTTCAGTAGCATCCTCCCCACAGTCATCTTTTTGATTGTAGCCAACTCCGTTCCCTGATTTCATTTCCTACTCTCCTTCTAACTTCACTGGTCTTAAATTAATTTCACTTTACACCTGCCTTCTTTCAAAGAACTCTCATCTCTACTGCCTCCAGATTTCTGATGTCTGCTTCATTTAATACAGCTGCTTCCAGATCATAGAGTCATATTGTTAGTACGCTGATTTGATAAGTTTTCACAACAGTTAGCAACAATTACTAATTTGTCCAGCCCTTGTGACCACTTACATACTTGTATAAATTGCCTTGTAAGGACATTTCAAATTCTACAATAGAATAGAATAGGATAGATATCTAGGATCACAAAGTATATTAGCCAGGGTGGATAAAAATCAATGATTTAAAATTTCAATTTTTTTCTTTAAATACATTTTTCTTTTATAACAAATTTATTTAAAATCAAATTTGAAATTATGACAACCCACACCTAGGTATAATCTATTAAGCTCATTTAAATTAATTTTTTAAAAATATTCTAGCAGTACATTTTTGCTGCTGAAGTTTTAAAGAAAGTCATACCACTCGATTGGTGGAAGTCACTGACTAAGCACGCACAGCCAGAATTTGCGAAAAGTGCTAAACTGCTTTTGACAGCAGTAGCTTCTTCTGCATGTGCCAAGAGAATATTTCTTCATTTCAGTTTATTCAATTAGATCAGTTTAATGACTAGTTCATTCAAAGTTAAGAAGCAGGAAAGCTTGTTTTCCCTCTTCCAATCTATTAATAAAAAAAAGGCTAAGAGGAGGAGCTCTACTAGTTCATAAATCTTGAAGGATAAGGTGACCAGAAACAATCAGTTCAATTCATTAACTACAGACAATACTTCCTTTGTTTAAAAAAAATCATTTAGTTTTAAATGCATAACATGTTTTGATAGACTTAGGGTTTTTTCCTTATGTAACCAGCACATTTAAGATTGTTTATAAGTTAAATAAAACAATTTGAAAGTGCTATTTCTGTGCATTTTAATTGAATTCCAATTTACATCCAAATGCAGCCTGACAGAAATTATGAGTAAAAAATTAGTCATTTAGTAAATAAATTTGAAATTCACCATTTTCTAACATAATAAACACGTAAAAATTAAGAATCGGAATAAGTATGTTAAGCTTAAATAAATGTGCATACATACAGTATCTTCTTGGTAAGCAAAAAGAAGTTTCAAATTTAGTAAAAAGGCTGTATTTAGTTGCAAATTAACATGTTTTAAGGGTTAGTAACCAATGAGACGCAACCTTTCTTTAGAAAAATAAACTAAAAAGTACAAATAGAAAATGGGATTAAAATAGATCACCTTGATTTAAGTTACCTACTTCCTGATTCATATTGTGATTCAAATTGGTGACTTAAATCAGTGCACCCTGATATTAGCTGTACATTTTCTTTTCACAGTATCTGTATTATGTAACAAAAAAAAAAAAAAAAAAAAAAAAAAGAAAGAAAGAAAATCTCAAAGTGCAAAAGTAGAGCATATCAGAATTACTATCAGTAGATCAATAATACCCTCTGGAATACCTTCTTGTGAGTTAATGACTGATGTACCACCAACCACACAATAATACAACAATGTAGATTTATGTTCCTGTTCTCTTGGAAATCCGTGCTATGTAAAGCGATATGACTAGTTTTACAACTCTCAGTAAACCTATTCCCTTGACATACACAGAAAATGGAAAACAGATTGAGCCACCTACAAATGCACAGTGTTATCAAAAGAGCTCGAAACCTAGGGCAGGCTGCAGGTAATTTTTACAGTCTAGAGGGTACTGTCAATTATTTCCTCTGCATACTCTCCTGTTTGACATCATCTCTTTTTTGCTTTGTATTTTGCCTGCTTCTTCAGCCACTTCATTTGGAACAAGAGGTCACATTTCCTCTGGAACAAAGTTTATTAATGACCAACTGAAATTCAAATAGACACAATGTATTAATTTGATGATATTCCTGTCATTAAGACCTTAAGTTTGATTTACCTCTATTCTAATATTTCCTTTTCTATATATGGATTTAAAATTTTCAGGATCACATGGTAAAAAGTTTTTCAGCTGCCAGGGTATAGTTTATGTCATTTTAGAGAAAGATATCCCACCCACTTACCTATAAGCTCTTTCAAAGGAGGGATTTCTAAATTGTAGGAGAAAGGATTTGTTCGAGTTTCTTGTTGGATGCAATTAAAAAATATAATCCCCTCCTTAAAACTTAATATTCTTCTTATCCTTCTCTCCTCGATTCCTTTGGATTTTAAGGATCTCTCTTCATCCATCATATCCTTCTTATGACCAGTTATTTCCTCCTTTTACTTGGCATTTCAATCATCCTTCCTTTCATTCTTTCCCACTCGTCTCAGTTTCTTCCCTATCTTTTCTGAGTATGTCTAGTGGATCTCCTCCGTCCTCTCATTTCTGACATCGATCCCATGTACACTAAGGGTATGTCTACACTACGAAATTAAGTCGAATTTATAGAAGTCGGTTTTTTAGAAATCGGTTTTATATATTCGAGTGTGTGTGTCCCCACAGAAAATGCTCTAAGTGCATTAAGTGCATTAACTCGGCAGAGCGCTTCCACAGTACCGAGGCAAGCGTCGACTTCCGGAGCGTTGCACTGTGGGTAGCTATCCCACAGTTCCCGCAGTCTCCACTGCCCATTGGAATTCTGGGTTGAGATCCCAATGCCTGATGGGGCTAAAACATTGTCGCGGGTGGTTCTGGGTACATATCGTCAGCCCCCCGTTCCCTCCCTCCCCCCCCCCGTGAAAGCAAGGGCAGACAATCATTTCGCGCCTTTTTTCCTGAGTTACCTGTGCAGACGCCATACCACGGCAAGCATGGAGCCCGCTCAGCTCACTTTGGCAATTAGGAGCACATTAACCACCACACGCATTATTCAGCAGTATATGCAGCACCAGAACCTGGCAACGCGATACCGGGCGAGGAGGCGACGTCAGCGCGGTCCCGTGAGTGATCAGGACATGGACACAGATTTCTCTGAAAGCATGGGCCCTGACAATGCATGCATCATGGTGCTAATGGGGCAGGTTCATGCTGTGGAACGCCGATTCTGGGCTCGGGAAACAAGCACAGACTGGTGGGACCGCATAGTGTTGCAGGTCTGGGACGATTCCCAGTGGCTGCGAAACTTTCGCATGCGTAGGGGCACTTTCATGGAACTTTGTGACTTGCTTTCCCCTGCCCTGAAGCGCATGAATACCAAGATGAGAGCAGCCCTCACAGTTGAGAAGCGAGTGGCGATAGCCCTGTGGAAGCTTGCAACGCCAGACAGCTACCGGTCAGTTGGGAATCAATTTGGAGTGGGCAAATCTACTGTGGGGGCTGCTGTGATGCAAGTAGCCCACGCAATCAAAGATCTGCTGATATCAAGGGTAGTGACCCTGGGAAATGTGCAGGTCATAGTGGATGGCTTTGCTGCAATGGGATTCCCTAACTGTGGTGGGGCTATAGACGGAACCAATATCCCTATATTGGCACCGGAGCACCAAGCCGCCGAGTACATAAACCGCAAGGGGTACTTTTCGATAGTGCTGCAAGCTCTGGTGGATCACAAGGGACGTTTCACCAACATCAACGTGGGATGGCCGGGAAAGGTGCATGATGCTCGCATCTTCAGGAACTCTGGTCTGTTTCAAAAGCTGCAGGAAGGGACTTTATTCCCAGACCAGAAAATAACTGTTGGGGATGTTGAAATGCCTATATGTATCCTTGGGGACCCAGCCTACCCCTTAATGCCATGGCTCATGAAGCCATACACAGGCAGCCTGGACAGTGGTCAGGAGCTGTTCAACTACAGGCTGAGCAAGTGCAGAATGGTGGTAGAATGTGCATTTGGACGTTTAAAGGCGCGCTGGCGCAGTTTACTGACTCGCTTAGACCTCAGCGAAACCAATATTCCCACTGTTATTACTGCTTGCTGTGTGCTCCACAATATCGGTGAGAGTAAGGGGGAGACGTTTATGGCGGGGTGGGAGGTTGAGGCAAATCGCCTAGCTGCTGGTTACGCGCAGCCAGACACCAAGGCGGTTAGAAGAGCACAGGAGGGCGCGGTACGCATCAGAGAAGCTTTGAAAACCAGTTTCATGACTGGCCAGGCTACGGTGTGAAAGTTCTGTTTGTTTCTCCTTGATGAACGCCCCCGCCCCTTGGTTCACTCTACTTCCCTGTAAGCTAACCACCCTCCCCTCCTCCCTTTAATCATTGCTTGCAGAGCCAATAAAGTCATTGCTGCTTCACAGTCATGCATTCGTTATTCATTCATCACACAAATAGGGGGATGACTACCAAGGTATCCCAGGAGGGGTGGTGGAGGAGCGAAGGAAAATGCCACACAGCACTTTAAGCACAGCACTTTAAAAGTTTACAACTTTAAAATTTATTGAATGACAGCCTTCTTTTTATTGGGCAATCCTCTGTGGTGGAGTGGCTGGTTGGCCGGAGGCCCCCCCACCGCGTTCTTGGGCGTCTGGGTGTGGAGGCTATGGAACTTGGGGAGGAGGGCGGTTGGTTACAGAGGGGCTGCAGTGGCAGTCTGTGCTCCAGCTGCCTTTGCTGCAGCTCAACCATACACTGGAGCATACTGGTTTGGTCCTGCAGCAGCCTCAGCATTGAATCCTGCCTCCTCTCATCACGCTGCCGCCACCTTTGAGCTTCAGCCCTGTCATCAGCCCGCCACTTACTCTCTTCAGCCTGCCACTTACTCTCTTCAGCCCTCCACCTCTCCTCCCGGTCATTTTGTGCTTTCCTGCACTCTGACATTATTTGCCTCCACGCATTCGTCTGTGCTCTGTCAGTGTGGGAGGACAGCATGAGCTCGGAGAACATTTCATCACGAGTGCGTTTTTTTTTTCTTTCTAAGCTTCACTAGCCTCTGGGAAGGAGAAGATCCTGTGATCATTGAAACACATGCAGCTGGTGGAGAAAAAAAAAGGGACAGCGGTATTTAAAAAGACACATTTTATAAAACAGTGGCTACACTCTTTCAGGGTAAACCTTGCTGTTAACATTACATACATAGCACATGTGCTTTTGTTACAAGGTCGCATTTTGCCTCCTCCCACCGCGTGAACGGATTTTGGTTGAATACCAGCAAACATACACTGCAATGCTTTGTTCTACAGTGATTCCCGAGTACGTGTTACTGGCCTGGAGTGGTAAAGTGTCCTACCATGAAGGACGAAATAAGGCTGCCCTCCCCAGAAACCTTTTGCAAAGGCAGAACCGCAAATGCCAGGGCAAAGTAATCCTTTCACATGCTTGCTTTTAAACCATGTATAGCATTTTAAAAGGTACACTCACCAGAGGTCCCTTCTCCGCCTGCTGAGTCCAGGAGGCAGCCTTGGGTGGGTTCGGGGGGTACTGGCTCCAGGTCTAGGGTGAGAAACAGTTCCTGGCTGTCGGGAAAACCGGTTTCTCCGCTTGCTTGCTGTGAGCTATCTACAACCTCCTCATCATCATCTTCTTCGTCCCCAAAACCTACTTCCGTATTGCCTCCATCTCCATTGAAGGAGTCAAACAACACGGCTGGGGTAGTGGTGGCTGAACCCCCTAAAATGGCATGCAGCTCATCACAGAAGCGGCATGTTTGGGGCTCTGACCCAGAGCGGCTGTTCGCCTCTCTGGTTTTCTGGTAGGCTTGCCTCAGCTCCTTCAGTTTCACGCGGCACTGCTTCGGGTCCCTGTTATGGCCTCTGTCCTTCATGCCCTGGGAGATTTTCACAAAGGTTTTGGCATTTCGAAAACTGGAACGGAGTTCTGATAGCACAGATTCCTCTCCCCAAACAGCGATCAGATCCCGTACCTCCCGTTCGGTCCATGCTGGAGCTCTTTTGCGATTCTGGGACTCCATCATGGTCACCTGTGCTGATGAGCTCTGCATGGTCACCTGCAGCTTGCCACGCTGGCCAAACAGGAAATGAGATTCAAAAGTTCACGGTTCTTTTCCTGTCTACCTGGCCAGTGCATCTGAGTTGAGAGTGCTGTCCAGAGCGGTCAGAATGGAGCACTCTGGGATAGCTCCCGGAGGCCAATACCATCGAATTGTGTCCACAGTACCCCAAATTCGAGCCGGCAACGTCGATTTAAGCGCTAATCCACTTGTCAGGGGTGGAGTAAGGAAATCGATTTTAAGAGCCCTTTAAGTCGAAATAAAGGGCTTCATTGTGTGGACGGGTGCAGGTTTAAATCGATTTAACGCTGCTAAATTCGACCTAAAGTCCTAGTGTAGACCAGGGCTAATGCTCATTCCCCTATGAGCATGGCTGGCCTAAGAATTTTGAGGCAGAGCACTGAGATGGTTCTTTATGATACACCTCAAATTGAGATGCGCAAATACTGCTGAGCACACCCAAACTGCTTAGGTAGATGGAGAAAACTTAAATGGCACACTTTATCTAAAATGTGTATATATAGATGATCTTTACATCTCACCTGGTCTCCTGCTACAGAAGTGGAGTCCGATTTCCTGGGTTGGGATCCCAGTGTTGTTGCAAGTGCTCTACAAAATTTTCTATGGAACAGCTGTCCAAATAAATGGAAGTCATAGGGCTATATGTGCTTCAACAACTGAATGGTTCAGTACATTTCAGGGGAATTTTAGGATTTATGTAGCACTTTACAAGTGTTAACTATTTAATCTTCACAAATGAAAGGTTATTTACCTATACAGTGACGGGAGTTTGTCAAGATGTGTGATCCCTATCTGTATTTCACTCGAGGGGTGTGCATGCACTCCATGAGCCTGAGACCATATTTTTTTTCTAGCAGTTTCTTTTGGTCCACACCTGTGCACCTCTCCTCCTTGGGCTCCAAACCGAGTGCATAAGAGAAGGTGCGAACCGCCTCCTTCTCCAGTTGCCTTTCTACCACAAACAGCCCGAGGATAAGGCTCTGCAGCAGAGGGGAAGGAGGGTGGGTAGTAGAATACAGATAGGGACCACACAGCTTGAAGAATTCATAGAATCATAGAATATCAGGGTTGGAAGGGACCCCAGAAGGTCATCTAGTCCAACCCCCTGCTCAAAGCAGGACCAATTCCCAGTTAAATCATCCCAGCCAGGGCTTTGTCAAGCCTGACCTTAAAAACCTCTAAGGAAGGAGATTCTACCACCTCCCTAGGTAACGCATTCCAGTGTTTCACCATCCTCTTAGTGAAAAAGTTTTTCCTAATGTCCAATCTAAACCTCCCCCACTGCAACTTGAGACCATTACTCCTCGTTCTGTCATCTGCTACAATTGAGAACAGTCTAGAGCCATCCTCTTTGGAAGCCCCTTTTAGGTAGTTGAAAGCAGCTATCAAATCCCCCCTCATTCTTCTCTTCTGCAGGCTAAACAATCCCAGCTCCCTCAGCCTCTCCTCATAACTCATGTGTTCCAGTCCCCTAATCATTTTTGTTGCCCTTCGCTGGACTCTCTCCAATTTATCCACATCCTTCTTGAAGTGTGGGGCCCAAAACTGGACACAGTACTCCAGATGAGGCCTCACCAATGTCGAATAGAGGGGAACGATCACGTCCCTCGATCTGCTCGCTATGCCCCTACTTCTACATCCCAAAATGCCATTGGCCTTCTTGGCAACAAGGGCACACTGCTGACTCATATCCAGCTTCTCGTCCACTGTCACCCCCTAGGTCCTTTTCCGCAGAACTGCTGCCTAGCCATTCGGTCCCTAGTCTGTAGCTGTGCATTGGGTTCTTCCGTCCTAAGTGCAGGACCCTGCACTTATCCTTATTGAACCTCATCAGATTTCTTTTGGCCCAATCCTCCAATTTGTCTAGGTCTTTCTGTATCCTATCCCTCCCCTCCAGCGTATCTACCACTCCTCCCAGTTTAGTATAATTCCAGTTACTATACAAGGTAAATAACCTTTCTTTCTTCTTTGAGTAATGGTCCCTACGCATACTCCACTTGAGGTGACAAAGTTGTATTAATTGAGGGGGATGGTGCAAGGAACCCTGATTTATCACCTACTGCAGGACTGCCAAAGACTGTATCTGCTGTAGAAACTTGTACCAGGGCATAATATTTTGCAAAAGTGGGAACAGAGCCCGATACTGCTGCTCTACATATCTCCAGAAGAGGGACATCTTGAAGCAATGCTACTGATGCAGCCTAGTTTCTGGTCAAGTGGGCCCTAACATCTTGAGGGCGTGGGGGGTGTCACCATTAACTCATAAGAAATGCAGGATGCAGCCCATAATCCATTTGGAAAGTCTCTGTGAGGAGATCACTTCCCCTCTTGTATGTTCTGCAAAGGAGACAATTTAGGAGATTCCCTGAAAGGTTTTGTCCTCTGTAGGTAGAATGCCAAGGCTTGATGGACATCCAGAGAGTAGTTTCTTGTGCTTTTTTGATGGGGTGCAGCTCTGAATGGAAGACAGGGAAGTGGATGACCTGGTTCAGATTAAACTCTAAAATTACTTTGGAGATGAATTTGGGGTATAAGCTCAGGGAAACTTTGTCCTTATGGAAGCCAGTATCAGGTGGATCAGCAATAAGGGCCTCCAGCTCTCCTACTCTTCTGGCTGAGAGGATAGCACCAAGAAATGCAATCTTGGGCAAAGGAACATGAGATTAAGTGTTCAAACGGGGCCTTCATTAATACCAAAAGCACTAACTTTAGGTCCCAAATTGGGGTAGCTTTTAGTATCACACAAAAGGTTCTGACAAGTCCCTTCAGAATCCATACTGCAATAGGATGGGCAAAGATTATGTGCCTGTTCAGCATAGGAGGAAAAGACTCTAATAGCTGTCAAGTGCACACACAAGGAACTGATTGTCCTAATGTTTTTAGAAAGAGGAGGTAGTCCTGACAGTAGGGATCAACAGCACCCCTCTGGGTTTATCCAACAATGCTGGCACAAGGTAGAAAATACTTTCCATTTTGCATTTCCTCGAAGAATCTTTCCTACTATTGCTAATGATGGATTATAGTAGCTCTGAGCAGGACTCTTCCATGTCAAATTCAAATCACCCATTCAAATACCAAACTGTTAAATGGAAGAATGCCGGACTGAAATGTCTGATCTGAGTCATTAGGTCTGTAAGAGCTGAATATTGATGCACAAACACGAGGACACGTGGAGAATGCTCAAGAACCAGAACTGCCTGGGCCACCTAGGAACAATCAGGATCACCAACCCTCCGTTTTGTTCAGTCTTCCTCAGAACAAAGGAATGGGCACAAATGTTTACGTCACCTGTCCTGACCTCTGAACTGGAAATGCGTCCCCTCTGGAGTCGTGGCCTTGAGCTGCTCGGGAGCAGTACGCTGCAAATTTCTTGAACTCTTGAGGCACAAAGAGGTCCCAAGATGGGATTCCGCACTACTGAAAGATGCTTCATGCCACCAAGGCCTGGAGAAGTGTCTATTGAGGCTGTCTACTAACCCTTGGAAGGTGCACTGTAAGAAGGTGATCTGCTGACAAATGCACCAGTTCCGGAGATTGACAACTTTGATGCAAAGAGGGGTGGATCTTGCTCCGCCTCCTTTGTTGATACTATTAATTGTTTTCATGTTGTCCAACATGACTGCAAAAATCAAAGTCCAAATAAGTGGTAGGAACCATTACAAGTTTTGCATACTATGCACAGCTCCAGAAGGTTTATGTCGAACTGGAGTTAGCTGCAGAAGCCAATATTTTAAGTTTCTCATGTTGACCTGGCTGACAGTCAATTTAATTTTTCTTGTTTTTTTTTTTAAATATTCATTTAACTATTTTAGTTAAAAACAATTTTAACAAAAACAAACCTGATTTTAAAAACTTGAATGTTTAAATACATTCAAAAATTCATATACTTGTTTTGTTAAAATATTATATGTTTGCTGTTGAAGAAAAAAATCCAGAATATGCAACGTTGTTTTAGTTAAATAAAACAATTTAAATGTCTGTCTGGTGATGTTCTCCTCCTAATACAGCATGGCAAGACAATCCTCCAAATATTAACGGTTAACCTATTGAATTGGAGATAGTTCACCTCCCGATGACATCATAAATATCTGCGTCAATTACCTTTGGTAAATGAAATAACCAAACAATCATTTCATTTTCTGATATAGCTGTAAAACTAATCTGAAAAGTTTTCAAAATAAATCACTTTAAAAATGTTTAGTGTGTACCTTCTAAAAATGAAACCTACATCTATCTCGGAGTTGTAAAGAATATGTATTAAGGTTATAACAACCAACATGAGTGCACTTTTTTGTAGAAATCCATGATTAAATCGAGTCTTCCTGACTAGTGATTTAAATCAATTTGGTTTCAATTAAATCCACCCTGGCCACATCAGACATTACTGTATGGCAAGCTGATGCATAACAGATTCATACCCTGGCTTGCTGTCCAGTAACTTTCCATGTACACAAGCATATACTATCTATAGAAGGTTGAACATTGTTTTATATCACACTGTGCCATATATGACATGAAAAGGGTCACACAGACATACATTCTATACTAAGTACCACTTTCAAACCATCTATTATCATGTAACCTAGTACATGCGCCTTCACAGCCACCCTCTGGGACTGCTGTGAAGGGAATCCATGTGTCTATGGTTTGCATCCTCTAGAGTATGTTAAGCCTCTAGACTGCCAGCAGACTGCAGTACTGGTTCCTCTCTTGACCTTTCTGGCACATTTCCTAGGCACTGGCTCTCAGTCAGCTACCCCTCTCCAAAATGGGGCTCCTCAACCCACTTGCCACAGGTCTCCAGGACCAGCACTGACCCCCCGAAATACCTCAGTTACATAAAACACCCCTCTCCCAGAACTCCACCTCAATAATGCAAAGCATCTCATTACAGTTTAACTCTGTCAGGGGCATCTAGCAGTTGTGAAGCAGTCAGCACAAACATACCCTCTTTGCACAAACTAATACCTTTATATTTTCTTATACTTAATCATGTAAAGCACAGGTCATACAAAACAAACATCTGAAATCACAATACCCCTCACTTTCTATCACACTCTTTGCTTGAGAGTCTTTGGGGAACCACAGAGGTTCTGGGGGGCCTGGGACAAAATATGAAATGGAATCCCTCCACCCTTTAAAAAAAAATCATCATGGAGACCTAAGTTCCCTCTAAGATGCGCAGCTGCCTATTAAGCCCTGTGCAGGGCCTCAGGGCTGCAGTGGGGAGAGATGCCTCTCCCCCAGCATGGACCTCCCTCAGCCCAGCCCAGCCCTACCTAAGCTGCCGCAGCTGTGGAGAAGCGCC